CCGCCACTGCGTCCAGGGCAATAAAAGAAGCTTGTGGACTATCAGTTAAACAAAAGTTCAACCAGACCTTCCAACTTTCTGAGGCCTTTTATTTTTTTGCAAGAAGTTGAGAGGTCAGATTGATCTTTTTTTTTTCAGTCCCACAAACTTCTTTTGTTTCCCTGCACATGGAGAATGGAGCTGGAAAGGAGGTTAGTGAAGGAATGTGATTGCCCTGGGGTGGGGGTTAGGATTTGGCATTGTGGATTGTGGAGTGTTTGTGCTCTGGTGGGGCTATTTAAAATGCAGGGATTCCCTGTGTTTTGAAGCACCCTGGGTGACTGAATGGAAAAGAGTGCTCCTTTTCTCAAGCGCCCCATTCCAGGCATACAGAGCTTGCAGTCTCTGCCAGATTTCTGTTGGGATAAAGAGTCTTTTAGTGCCTATAGAATGTGTCAATGCTGCTAACAATTGATGAAAATACAGCCATTTTCTCTATTTCTTTACAATGCTTTTCTTGCTTTAGAAATGAAGTGCAGCAAGGGAGGAGTTGGAATATAAGCTCAGCTAGCCATAACATAATGCTGTGGTGGGAACCCAAGGACAACCTGATAACATTTTGGCGGACTGTGGAGTTAAGGAGAAAGCCCACACTTTAAGCTAATTGGGGAATGTGATTTATGACAGTTTATTGGGGGTGGGAATTGCACTTTGTTACTTTGTATCAGGAGGGAGGGAATTTAGTTTTGGGTTCAACTATGTAGTGCCGATACTTTGTTTTCCGAATAAAAGATTCTTTAAGGAAAACAATGCCTCGAAGTTCTTTTGAAGGGTTTCATCTATCAGAACCATGACAGAGTGCTTCCAAACGCAGCCAGTCCCTGCATTTGGAAGCCCTCCATAGGTACTGAAACATTTTTTTATCCCAATGGAGATCTAGAAGAAGGCTCCATTTCTCAAGTGCCTCCCTTTTTTTTATCCCAACGGAGATTTGACAGAAGGCTCTGTTTCTCAAGCATCCCATTAAGGCATACGGAGCTTACAGTCTCTGCCAGATCTGGTGGAGAACTGGCAGAGACTGCAAGCTCCGTATGCCTGGAATGGGGCACTTGAGAAACGGAGCCTTTTGTCAAATCTCTGTTGGGATAAAAAATATTTTGGCACCTATGGATTACTTCCAAACACAAGGACTGGCTGCGTTTGGAAGCGCTCTATAGGAGCTAAAAAACTTTTTATCCCAATGGAAATCTGGCAGAGACTGCAAGCTCTATGGCTAAGTTTTCGGAGAAAAAGCCATTTCTCAAGCCCCTTCCTAGCAAAAAACAAGCCTCCAGAGCAAGCACGCCTCGCTCTTCTTAAGAGCAGTCCTACGAAAACAAGCCTCCGGAGTTGACACGCTCCCTCTGGAGGCTTGTTTTCACTAGGAAGGGGCTTGCAAAATGGCTTTTTCCTGCTAAAAATGTAGCCAAAGAACGAGATGTGCTTGCTCCAGGGGCTTGTTTTCGCTAGGAAGAGGCTTGAGAAATGGCTTTTTCTGGCAAAAATGGAGCCAAGAGTGAGGCACTCCGTTTCTAAGTATGCATTTGAATGCAGATGGAACTTCCAGTTTCCCAAGGTCTCCGTCCTGGTGAAAATTGTTTTGGCAGTGGTGGAAAGGCATTGCGAGCAGGAGCAAACACCGTGAGAGTTTAGGCTCCCAGTCTCTGCAAAAGAGGATTGGTGCCTGAACTCGCGCAATATTACAGGCACCCAGGAGATTCCATCGACTTTCCTCTCCCTCAAAGGCAGAAACCGTGGCAGAGAGGAGACAGATTTTTTTCAAGATAAGTGAGTCTGGCGCAACAGGAAGGCAGAGGAAAGCATGAGGTATCTTAGTGGACCAGGGAGGCCTTGGGGGCCTATTCCATCACTAGGCCCCCCATGACCTTCCCTGAGATACCTCATGTGCACTTAACAAGCCATGTGCATCTTAATGAGCAAGGGAGTGATCTCGTTCGAAGTAAGCGATTCATTCTATGAGTTTTCGAATTACGAGTGGAATGGGCAGGCTCCATTACACTTGTAACTTGAAGACTACCTCTACTTTTTATATATTAAAAGCATGAACACACACAAAAATCTATAGCATTGTTTACCAAGTGAATGTAAATTAGAGTTAGTTTTGACTTAGTGATATATTCTAAAGGAGTCATCAACACGGGGAAATCCCATAGTCGTAGAAGTCCCATAGAAGTTTTCACAAAGCAACTGGATTTTCTTTTTTCTTTTTGAAGACATTTCACTTCTCATCCAAGAAACTTCTTCAGCTCTGACTGGATGGTGGGGAATGGAAGGATTTATACTTCTTGCAGACAGCTGGTCATTTACATTCTTTTAGAGAGTTGTTGATGCCACCTGGAGGCTTATCTGTGTCGACAAGAACACTTGAGTGCAAATGGGTTTGGAGCCTTCTTGGAACTATTGAAAGGACTGTTGTAGACCAGTGTCCCCAGCCCCCGGTCCATGGACTGGCACCGGGCTGCAGCATGCTAGAAACCAGGCCGCACAGACAAAGCCCCATCCCCAGGATGCAAGCAGTACAGGAAACCATGCCCCCTCCAGTTCTGGGAAAAACCTCTGTCCACAGAACCGGTCCCTGGTGTCCAAAAGGTTGGGGACCTCTGTTGTAATTTTAATAATAATAGACTAAGTAGACTAAGTAGACTAAGTTGTATCTCTTCCCCTCTATTGTTCAATTTTAACATGGATGGCCTCTTTGACCCCTCTATCTTCAGTTTACAACATCTATCTTCATCTATTTTCAGTCTACAAAACAGTCCTTTCAACAGTTCAAAGAAGGCTCCACACCCATTAATATTTTTCTCTCATCAATTAGTATTAAAATAAACATTACTGTCGTGTTACCAGAATGTTAAAACAGTAAAATAATTTGTTCAAATGACTTGATAAAATTACTAATAAAATGATTTTTGATTATTATCTTTCCCCCAAAACAGCATTATGGGAATGCTTTATGGAAGAATATCAGATTTGAATGTCCTCGCTAACTATCAAAAACAGATCACTCAACAAGTTTTAGTATGTAGAGTTCTACAATTTTAGTTATCTAGTTTCTGGGAAAACATGCATAGATTACAAATTGCAATATCAGAGTTTTGGATGTGCTTCACTGAAACAATAATCCAGTAAATATTAACTAGACCTTATTTGCATTAATATTAGAGTCTAAACCCATGTTTCTTACAGTCATTTTAAAGAATGGCAAGAAGATATAGTTCTTAATAATTTATGTTCTTATAGTTTTATTTGCCCCATATCTGCTGCTTTGGTGGTTCTTTTTTTATTTTGCCCTTTGATTTTTTTTCATGCTGCTAAGTACCTGAGACTATACAGATGGTGTCAAATTATTTAAAAGAAACAACTATGGAATAAAATTGACTTTCTGTTGATTCAGTCATTATGGGGAAACTTATTTCAAATGATGCTCTTGTTTCACTATACAAATTTATATATTTAATAATAATAATAAAGTTGGAAGGGACCTTGGAGGTTTCCTAGTCCAACCCTCTGCTCAAATATATATTTGCTATATTTGCTATCTATCCATATCTATGTATTTACCTATCTCTCTCTCTCTCTGTGTCCATTTATCTACCAATTACCTACCTAGCTAGGCTATTTTTGCTGTCTAATAAGCAATGTAAGTTTATTCCATGACCTTTAGGACTGGAAAGGACTGTGTTACAAGTTTCTAAATCTACTGAATATGACTTGCGGTTTCATTTCTTACCCTTTAGAAAGGCAAATCTGCTTTCTAATACTGTATGATGAAAAGCTTAAATATGTATTGTTTGCCCTGAAAATAAATAAATATTGCATTTTGAAGTTCTATCACATTTTATTTAGTAACTGAAAAGGAAAAACATGAACCATCATATTTGTTAAAAAAATATGGTGTATTTCATTAGTATTCATATTTACTCTTTTCAGCTATTCTGCATATTGAGATTATTAATTACATGGATTTGACCCTAAATGCTGGTGCTTATTTATAAAGTCAAAATATTATTGTGAAAAGAGCAAAAGTTGTAATAACAAAATATTCTAGAGTGCCAGCATAACTCAGCCTCTTAGTACTCAAAACTTAACACAAATCCTTAACAAATACAGATTACTGCCTTCAAATTCAGAGCATAATATTACCCATGTACAGACATTTGCATCTGACTGGTCATTCCATTAATAAAATGGAAAGTCCATAATTCTAGTAGAAGCCATGCATTTTCTATAAACAAAGGGAGAAAAACATAAAGTTCTTTTTAAAATGTGGCTATGAAACCTAAATGCAAGACAAATATTTTCATTTCTCAGATTGGAAAATCCCTTACTTCTAAGTTACTTGTCTTGCAATATGTGATGCTTGTTTTCTTCCGCTTGTTCTGGCTGAACTTTTCTAAGTATTACTTAAATTCCAAATATAGGTGTGATGTGTGTAGTCTATGTAAGATATATGCAATGTCTGAATAAAGAGCATCCTGCCAAATTAGGATGGTTCGTGTGTTCTATGTTCATTAATTCATGTTGATACAGCAATAATTTCAAAGATTATTTGCATCAAATTTTAAATTTGATTTAAAATTTAATTTTCAAATTATGGTTGCATAATTTGATGGTTCTTTAATTTTTACTAATGTAGGTCTTTGCTTTTGACAATAATTACCTTTGCTTCATGGATGTTATAGCCTGGCCAAAAAAGTTCAGTTATGTAGTGTTTCCTAACGTGTGTGTGTGTGTGTGTGTTTTCAGGACAATAGCTCTGCAAATCTATACTGGCTAAAGCAAATTATTGTAGTATAAGATTCTTACCTTATTTTGTCAGATGGAAAAAAACCAACATTTGTTGCATATGTTTATGATATAAAATATTGTTCATAATGATACATATTAAAATATAATTTGGCAAATAAAATGTATTTTTATGGGAAGATCTATATTATTTTATATATATATTTCCTTTGTAGCTGAATATCGTGAACATAACTTCTTTAGTGGTGGATTCAAAATGGGGAAACTATGCAAATTTTGTGATGTTAGATTGACAACATGTACCAACGAAGGTCATTGTTGCAGTAACTGCAACATCACTTCTATTTGTCCAAAGAAAAATGAAATCTGTGCAGCTGTTTGGTAAGTTCATTGTAGCTATGGCATATGATTCATTGTGTTGGGTTTTGTTTTTTAAAAAAATTGTCTCCAATTTCCATTATAGTTTTGGCAAAAAGTGCAAAATGTTTTGATTATTGTGATATTCAGATAAAATTAAGCTTTATTTCCATTCATTTCGATGTAGTATATTGAAATTCTTATTATATTGCATGAGTATCATTTTCTTACAAAATGAAACAAACGTACCTGGGGAAGAGGGCCTAGGTAGTTATGAAATTCAGACATTTACATCTGATAACAAGTTCCAGTCCTTTGCTAAGCAAAGCAGGTGAGTTAGGATCTCTTCAGAAGATGGCCATTATAGAGCAGATTTGATTAGAAGTATATTAAGTGATGCCTATTTAAATTCACTCTAGTATGGCTCACTATAAACACAGAGGTGTACAAGCTATAATAGATTCAGTGTCTTGAAAGCCATATGGAACTTTAAAAGATACTCAACAAGATTCGATTAAAACTCATTGATTTGGTTTAGATTATCATATTAATAAGTAGATATACGAGGAAGTATTTTTGACTTCTACAATTCTCACAACATAATTAAACTGGGAGACTTCTAATTAGCATCAAGTTTTGATTCCATCCAGATTAGAAATTAAGGTTGTAAGATTTGAAACAAGCCAAGTATATTAAATGGCCTTTAAAATACTGTCTTGCTGCAGCAGTGTTGATTAGAAGAACTTCGATAATAAGTTTTATAGGATGATTATTCGTGTTGTGAAGATGGCAGATTGAGATGGGTAGTGTATTATGTTCTTCCTCTCCCTATCTGCCATTGCTACCACCTTCATTATACTATTATACTATCATTATACTATACCACCTTCATTATACTTCCTAACATGAATCAAATTCTGTAGATACACATTTGTGTATTTTAGATACCACAAGATGTTCCTCCAAACATCTGAGGACAATCTTTTGTTTTAAATTTTGATCTCTATTTTATTATTTTTTTTATAAATAACTCACACACATACATATTAAAACTGTTTGTGCATATTCAGTGATTTCAAATCCACATCTTCAGTTCAGTTGTTGGCTTCATAGTCATCTCAAATTTAGGGATTGGTAGTGGTGCAGTGATTACAATGCAGTATTGCAGGCTACTGCTGACTGCCAGCTGTTTGATCTGTTCGATCCTGACCAGCTCAAGGTTGACTCAGCCTTCCATTCTTCTGAGGTCGGTAAAATGAGGACCCAGATTGTTGAGGGCCATATGCTGATTCTGTAAACCATGTAGAGAGGGCTGTAAAGCACTGTGAAGAAGTATATAAGTCTAAGTGCTATTGCTATAACTAACCATTCCTCAAAAACATTTCCCAAGATGGTTCAAAACTATACACATCTGTGCAGACAACTATTTCAATAAATACATGTTTACTACGATGGAACTTTGGACTTTCCATTTCAGATAATTTAATGCTGTTTAAATTACTGCAGTAAACATTATTGAAATGTTATAATTATAGTAACTTGCATAAAATTTAATTTTGTCCCAATTATTTTTTTTATTGTACATTACCCTATTTTCAGTTGTCTTTCTTTAAAAAGAAATGTTTGTGCTTTTTTTAATTTTCCACTGTTTTTAGGAGAAAGAATAATGGGAACATAACCTTAGAAACAATATGCCATGATCCTACAATAGAGCTCCACGGTTACAAATTGGATGATTTCAATTCGAAGAAATGCATGATGAAAGAGAAGAAAGGAGCTGGAGGACTGTTATATATGTGTTCCTGCAAAGATGATGAATGCAATGATGAAATTATTTTTTCAGAAAGTAAGTGTATATTGTACTTCATTTTATATATGGGTCCACTTTTTGACCAGCTGATAAAGAAGGCTTCCATGGAAGTCTCTCGTGATACTAAAGAAAGAGAATGGTTGCTTTAACAAATCAATAACACTGTGAAATATCCCATGCAATATGCATAGTAAACTTAGAGATAAAAAAAAATTGATTATCATATTTTCCTCTAAAGTGCAATTAGTAGAATAATCCATAAAATAATAATTTAAAGAAACATTGTGTTTCAGTGGATTCTGACAGACAGTTCTCTATGACCTCAGTTATTGTTATTCCATCACATTCCAATGTATGGAATATTTTTACCAGCCCATGAAATATTAACTAGACATTCGTTCTGTAAATGATTAATTCCAAATTTTTGCAGAAAGGGAAGAGGGGAAAAAACCCTGAGAGATTAAAGAATAAAAAGAAAGTGCTTTTACCCGTTTTTCCCCATTGCATTGTTTGAATTCATCTTCTGAGATCCTAGAATGGTATCATCCCTGAATTATATGATATTTACAAGTAGCATTGACTTCCATTATAAAGATTTTAATGTACCATTCCATCCAGAAAGTGATTACTATTACTATCAGTAATCACTGATTTTTTGCTTTTGATTCAGTCAGTCCAAGCCAATCATTACAACTTCAGAACTAATAGATATCTTACATTTGTTTGGATAAACGATTTGGCAATGATAGTTGGCCAGATGTTTTGAGCAGTTTTTATTGAAATAGCTTAGTTTCTTCTGTAATTCTTAATAAAATTATAAATGGTCATATTAACTATTTTCTTTTTATGGAATTTCTATTTTTTTTAATTTTGAATTGCAGTTGCATCACTTCATCCCCTTAATCATTGGGTAATAATATAACTGCTTTATATAGAGTGATTGAAAGTTTAAAGATATGTTAGTTGCCCTCAATATAAGTATTAATTATATTCCAAAGTTCTATCACACTTTGGAAAGCAATTTTGTCCTTTTCTGTTCTCTGTTTTACTTACATGAATAATTGTGTGTATGCAACATTATTATTAATGATTAAAACATTGTTAAAAGGATTATAGAAAACATGCAGGCCTAATCAATCCTTGGCAGAAAAGGTGATATCTTGTGACTTCTGGTGAAGCTAAAAGGGCAAGAATCAGATCAATGTTTCACAATTAAAAAGAGATAATATCACATCATTTTTCATTTTCAGAGTAGGTTTGCAGGTATTTTTAAAACAAAAACAAAAATGGCATATAGAACATATAAGTAAATAAAAGCTTTGAAATAGTTAGTATGAAAGATGAAGAATTTGTACTGGATTTAGAGACAATTGATTTGAAAGCCATTACACAATTAGAATAGTTTGGGGAAACAACATGGCCCACAACAGTTGGCTGAAGTTGTGGAAAGTCACAAAGGAGAAATAATAAGAGTTGGAGAGAAAAAAAAGGGGAAGATACTAAGGAATAGTCATGGGTTTGCATTTTCGTAAAAAGCCAAACCTTGACAGTGAAGACATAAAATCAAGTCTGTTTCCTATTCAACAAGATAAATAGTAAGACTGACAATTATATTTATTGTATGATAAATATACATGTTGTGTGATAGGAAGTTCTATTTTGAAAATATTGGGATGGCAATTTAGCATTCAAGTAGAACTTGAAAAATGTAAGTATTTTTAAAAAAATTGCATTTAGAAGGTGGAAATTTAAAGAGTTATAACCCAAATAACTAAGCAAACAACAAAGTTATTTTCTTAAGCAAATCTGTCTTTTCTTAACTAAATCAGTTGGGCTCCTGGATTATCTGGCAGTTTGTAGAACTGAGCAGATGTATTTTACTTGCATCTGTTTCCTTATTATGAAATCATTGTACATCTTTAACTTTATGTTATTTCATATGTGTAAAATCCCAAATGTTGTGTAATTGGTAAACACAAGTTTAAACTGTTAGAGCAGGAAAAAAGTGATAAAGTACAGGTAGTCCTTGACTTACAACAGTTCGCTTAGTGACTGTTCAAAGTTACAACTTATGACATTTTTCACACTTATGACCATTGCAGCATCCTCAGGGTCACGTGATTTACATTCAGATGCTTGGCAACTGATTCATATTTATGATGGTCAGTGTGTCCCAGGGTCATGTGATCCCCTTTTGCAACCTTCTGATAAGCAAAGTCAGTGGGGAAACCAGATTCACTTAACAACCATGTTACTAATTTAATAACTGCAATGTTTCAGTTAACAAATGTGGCAAGAAAAGTCATAAAATGGGGCAAAACTCATTTAACAAATTTCTCATCCCTTCTCCTTTTATATCTTCTTCTCTCCCCCCTCCTTCTTTTATATGCAGCCCCCCTCCTTCTGTTAATGCAGCCTAGCACTGTGTTGGCTTTTTTAGCAGTGTGCTGCAGCTGCCAAAAAAGCCAACACAGTGCTGGGTTGCATTAACAGAGGGATAGAATCAAGATCATGTGAAGTGTTAATATCACTTTACAATGCCTTGGTAAGGCCACACTTGGAATACTGCATCCAGTTTTGGTCACCGCGATGTAAAAAAGATGTTGAGAGTCTGGAAAGAGTACAGAGAAGAGCAACAAAGATTATTAGGGGACTGGAGGCTAAAACATATAAGGAAAGGCTGCTGGAATTGGGTATGTCTAGTTTAATGAAGAGAAGGACGAGGGGGGGACATGATAGCAGTGTTCCAATATCTCAGGTGCTGCCACAAAGAAGAGGGACTCAAGCAGTTTTCCAAAGCGCCTGAAGGCAGGACAAGAAGCAACGGATGGAAAGTAATCATGGAGAGAAGCAACCTAGAACTAAGGAGAAACTTCCTGACAGTTAGAACAATTAACCAGTGGAACAACCTTGCCTCCAGAAGCGATGAATGCTCCAACACTGGAAGTTTTTAAGAAGAGACTGGACAGCCATTTGTCCAAAATGGTATAGGGTTTTCTGCCTGAGCAGGGGGTTGGACTAGATGACCTCCAAGGTCCCTTCCAACTTTATTATTATTATTAGTAGTAGTATTATATCCTCTCCTCTCCCGCCTCCTCCTTTTATATCAGGGATGTCTTCTGGATTTAATAATATTTCAATATTTACAATCAATAACTAATTGCACTCATATACTCCCCACACCTTGCCATGCCTTTCTCTTTCACTTATATCACCATGTACCCTCCCCAATCCTTATTGTGCATTGTTCACATTCTCACTACTCCCAAACACCTCCTTAACCTTACTGCACTTTACTCACACTCCCATCTTGGCTGTCATCATGCTTCCCTCACACCCTTGGATATCTATGGTCACCTTTCCAAACCTTGCTGTTCCTCCCTCCATGTGCACCCTTTCCAACCCATGCCACATCTCCCTGCATACCTGCTTGATCGCTCCTCCCAATTGCCAGCAGCCACTTACCTGCTTACCAGCCTGCTTGTGACCTACTTATCACTTCTCTGATATGGTTTTGGGAAGTTGTTAGGCAACAGCCTTGGGATTCAGTAAATGATCGCAACTGGGACTGCAGGAATTACCTTTGTTAAATGATGTGGTTGTACTTTTTATAAACAAATTGTGTAGAAACAGAAATTTCAGTCATTGTAAGTCAAGGATTACTTGTAGAATATTACAGTCATAGTTTTCCAAAATTGGTGCCAGTTTTTGCCTAGGAGAATGATCTATTTGCTTTTTATCTTAACACGTTAAGTTAAAACTTACATAACAGACATTTCTTTTGCATACCATAATTTTTCCACTTTGTTCTGTGTGTATGAGAAAAAATGAATTATTGTTAATATTCTTAATAACATTTCATATAGCTTCAAGATATCTCTGTGTCTCTTAATTAATAGTAATTTTAATAATATTGTAGTAATAAAGGATCTGCATTCCAAAGAATCCACATCACTGTAGAGTTTTGGATGAATTTTTATAAATATTTCATTGTACTTCTTATGCCTTAAGCTGTTGGAGATAATACAGTTGGCATGGTAGAGTTATTTCCTCCTTCATTGCTTAAAAGTTAGCGACAGAAGGAATCAAAAGTTTTGGCCTTAATTTCTACTAAGAGTTTTTTGTTCTACAAAAATGCCAAAGAACTGATTCTAGAGTGATAATCTGTATAACTTTTCTGTAAGGCTTAATACAGTTTAATGAAAAAAATATACTTTTAAAGAGTCTCATTTGGATCTGTAAAAATATACTTCTGTGCTGTTTAAGATGAAACTTAGGTTAATAGAAATAAACTCTAGTCGTCAGGCATGGACAGGCTTGTTAAGTAACAGGCAAATGGTTAGATAAGGGCAACAACCAGACATCTAAGCAACTGGAATCTAGAATCTTGATTTTAAAAAGGCTTCTTAAAGCACTATTAGTTCATCATAGCTCCAGCTACTTGTCATTAGAAACTGTGTCGTGCTATTCTGCTGTTGAAAAGTTATTAAAATTTACAAAATGGCAGATTTTTTTTTTTGCTATGAACTGAATTCATTCTTCCTTCACCAAGGAAAAAAGAATAGAAGCCAGCATTCTAACTTCTTACTGTCTCCTTTTATTAGAAAAATTCAAAAATATTTTTCCAAATTTAGAATCCAGGAGACTATTAGGAGTACATTCAGCTAAAATCCAAAGGTTCCTTTTGTAACATTTACATTCCATACACAGTTGATACATTGTCATTTGGTTTTTATTGTTGTGGATTAGTGTTCTTTTAAATGAAAATAAACCCCTTTTTCCTTGCTTGCCTGCTTAGCTCTGGCAGGAAGACAAATTATTTTTACAGTATCAGACATGTGGTTTCCTGTCTGTGTTTAACACTGAACAGAACATCATGGCCAGCTGGTCCAGTTTTCCCCAGACAACTAGAGAATATCCTGCAATAATTTTGTCTGTTGGGCTGTCATCCATATGTACCCTTGTCCCACCCATTGCAGACGCCTGCTGCTGTTTGCTTAGTGAGTGCAGATTGTCTTGTGTGTTTATATAGATTT